TCCTTGCCGGGTACCCCTTGGCTTGTCAGACCTTTAGTCCTAAGCCCATTACAAGCTTATGTGACTAAATTAACCCGAGAGGATACATTCCCTTATGCCCATACGAAGAATAAATTCACACGAAGATATAAGGTATATGAATCCCGAAGGTTACTTGCTAGGCTCGCATGGAGAATAAATTCTTACGAAGGTGTCACTTTCACCCCTACTTAAAAAGGGTTCAAAGCTCGGGTATAGAGCCAGAGATGAAAACTTCTTCAAAAATCTGAAATCATTGAAAAAAACGTCAGTACAACTATTTATTTGAAAACAATAATCAAAGATAAATAATAAGAATCGAAAAGTTAAATTACAATTTAAATTTACAATTTTCGCTTTTAAAAAAAGACAACTAAAAATTAATTCTGGCTTGACTCACTTACCTGTCCCCAGCGGAGTCGCCAAGCTGTCGCAGTCGTCTTTCGGGTGGGCCCAAAATTGGGCTTCGACTTGAATAAGTGGGTTAGAGCTGCCACAGATCCTTTATTTAAAAAAATTTGATTGATCGGACACCATCTTTACCTGATCTACGTTTTTCCAGAAATATGTTAGATTTGGGAGTTGGTTATAGTCAAGGAATGATTAGCACCCTTGAACTGCCGTTTCGGTACCATTTAATTTGACGGTTATCTTAATTGCGAAAATTAAAATTAAAATTTACAGATTTGATCCCAAATTACTTACCTTTTGATCAATTAAAATCGTCCTAAAAAAGATCAAAAATAAAGTTAAAAAATAAATATTAAAAAAAACAAAAAAGAGTTAGTATTAAGATCGAAATAAGGGGAAAAATAATAAATAAAAGGAATAAAAGAAAACTCCAATTAAAAGGATTAAATTGGAAAAAAATAAAAGGTAAGGATCGAATTGACGTTAATTGAAAGTTGCAAAAGGAAAAATGAAAGTTAGGTGACCAATTTGCAAAATATAAAAATATAAACAAGGATTAAATTGAAATAATTGAAAATTCGGAGGCAAAATTGAAACAGGTGACCAAAATGAATTACACTTCAAAGTTAGAGGGTCTGTGAAAATAATTTAACTATTTGATAATTACACATAGGTCCCTCGGCTATAAATAACCCTAAACCGAAAAAAATTTATTTTTTACCCAAAACCAAAAAAATCTTCTCTCTCCAAAAAAACTCTCATTCGAAAATCAATCGGCTGAAGGCCGGCCACAGTCCCAGACTCGCACCACCGCCCGGACCGCCGCTCCGATGGCCGAAAAAAACCAAATTACCCCCAAAATATTCCTATCGTCCCCATAAGTTTAAACCCGAGGTCTAAACCCCCTAAAAATACCCCCACCGACGAGAATTTTGTTTTCCGGTGACCTTTTACCTCTCGACGAAGCTCCTTTTTATCCCCGGTGTTCTCCCACAAAACAAAGTTTTAAACTTTTTTTATCTTCACTTTCGGTTTCGAAAGTTTTCGCCTTTGGGTTCTAACGTTTACTGAATGCTTGTTTTTGTTGTTGATGGCTTTTTGTTGCTTGAATGTTTCTTGTTTGTGTTTACTGTTGGTATTTCGCTTGGGTTTCTCTCTGTGATTTGTTGTGGTTGCTTGGATTTCCTTGGTGTCTTTCGTTGTTCGGCTCCGGATCTTATATAGCCCCCCGTTGGGGGGTTGTTTCCGATGGCTACAGGAGTCACTCTCCCCGTTCTCGATTTACTCAGGGTGTGAACGTTGCTGGCTAAAATCCCGGGATGGTTCTGTCCCGGGCTGACCCAATTTTCTCTCCCGAAATCTCGGCTGGTTGCTGTGTATGGCCACCGGCACGTGGTCCTCACGCGTCCCTCGAGTCCCTCCTATGTAGGGATGGCAACTCAACCCGAATCCGATGGGTTCCGACCCGACCCAACCCGATCGGGTCAGATTTTTTTAAAAATATTTCGGGTTCGGGTCGGGTCAGGTCGGGTTTTTTTTAAATGTACTGTTCGGGTAGGGTCGGGTCGGGTTTAGGGTGAAAAAAATTCGACCCGACCCGACCCGAAAAATATATATAATTTTATCCTATATATTTAGGGATAATTACAATAATGTCCTTCCATATATAATTTTTTTCAATTAAGTCACTGTTTTCATTGAATAAAATTTTTTTTATTATTATTTCGGGTCGGGTCGGGTCGGGTTTCTAAGTCATATATTCGTGTCGGGTCGGGTCGGGTGAAACCTTAATTTCGTCGGGTCGGGTCGGGTCGGGTCACGGGTGAAAAACCCTTTCTTCTCGGGTCGGGTCGGGTGGCCCAAAAACCCGACCGACCCGACCCGACCCATTGCCATCCCTACTCCTATGCGACGCCCTTGCTAAAATACGAAACTCTAGTTTGACTGGGCTGGGTCAGGCCTGGTTTGACTTCTTTTGGACTGTTTTGGACCCTAAAAAAAGAGAAAAATAAATAAATAAAATAAAGAAGAAATAAATGAAAAAAGAAATAAAATGTAATGAAAATTATATATATATTTTTAAAAAAAGTGTTTTCAAAATCATATATTTTCGAAAATATTTTTTAAATTGTATATTAAATATTTTTTAAAATGTTTTCAAAATATTTCCCAAAATATTTTTTTAAAACTATATAATATATTTCAAAAATATTTTCAAAAATATATAATATATATTTTTTCAAAAATATTTTTAAAACTATATATTATATATATTTTTTAAAAATGTTTTTAAAACTATATTATATATGTTTTCAAAAATGTTTCAAAAACTATGTATATATAGGTTTTCAAATGTTTTAAAACTATATTATATACGTTTTTAAAATGTTTTTAAAAACTATATATTATATAAGTTTTCAAAAAACTATATATTTGTATATATTTCAAAAACCGATTTTTTAAAAAAAACGAAAAACAATCTTTCATAAACTATAAGATATTATTAAATATATAAAAAAAGGCTCCAGACAAAAATGAGTGTCTACACATACAAATTGAATTATTTACACTATCATTTCTGTTAGTCCTCTTTCTAGATAGTCTCATGCCGATTATATCTTGTAGGTTGTTGATAATCTCTATTTCATTTGAATCTATACCCTTAAATTATCTCAAATTTCTAGATAAGTGCATTCCAAAGTTTGAGAATAATAAAAGAATATTGATTTACCCCTTAAATTCACACAAAGCCATTGGAATTGTTGCCATCCCTGCTTTATGGCTCTAATTACTAGTATTAAGGCTTTTATGAGTGCATTTATTAATGTTAAGAATTTAAGAACAGAAAAATAATTAAAGTTATATTAACATAAAATAATAAATGCATAAGAGATAAGATTTAATGTGGTTCAGTTTCACCTATCTTTCATGAGCTAGATGAACAATAATACACCATAAACATAGAGAATACGAAAAATACTAATACATGATATCATATGTATCCCAGCACCCGACATAAATACAAAAATCAATATATCTCAAAACACTCTTCCAACATCCTTATAAAATTATCTCTGCAACATAAGACCCAAAAGTTACAGAGATCCGTTTGTTAAGAATTTGAAAGCAAAAAAAAAAAATCAATTTTGTTAATTGTATGATAATCACTTCCGTTAAATGTTAACAACAAATGACTATATTAGAATCAACTAAATAGTCAAGTGGTCATATTAACTTAATTTTAAAAATGGTAATCATATTGACATAAATTCCATAATTAGATAGTCATTCATATAATTTACCCAATATTCAATGTCAAAAAAGAAGGCAAATTTAGGTCATAAACGCTGATGCAGTAATTATTTAGGTTTCTAGGGTGATTAAAAAATTAATTAACAATCTACTATATTTACTATAATATTTTAGAACTTATCATATCAACGTGACGAGTTTCAATAAAATATATTTTTATAAAAACTTATTATCCTGATGTGATAGATTTTAATAAAAAAAATATATATTTTTAGAAATCATTATTTCACATGACGAGTTTAAATAAAAAAATTATTATTTTTAAAACTCAACTTCACATGACGAAATCTTTTATTATAATAAATGTTATAAATTCTAAAATAGCTTTTAACAGTCCTATTAGACTAATAATTGTATGTGCTAATATTATTGGGCTAAAAAAACTAAAAAAAAAAGAAGGCTATTATTCACCCACGTTGTCATAAAATTGATATTTTCCAACCCTATGTATGGCTTTTAATTGAATGGATGATAAATTCTACGTTTGTGTGTACCGTTGTAAATGAGATGAATTATATTCGAATATTATTAAGTTTGATTTAATTTAAAAAATTTAAAGTTAAACTTAATTTGATTTAAAAATTTATGGTTTCAAATTATCAGGTTTGAGTATGCTGTTTTTATTATAATATGTTATTATTTGGATTAATACATATAATTTATCTTAAACAGTCCTATAACTTCTAGAAATCATTTTAGATTCATAAAAAATCTTTTAAATAAGAAATTATTTATCATATTTTTATTTTTAGCGATTAACAAGAATATATAGGGTAAATTATGCGTTTAGCGCATAAACTATCAATTTCGGTATATTTTAATATCTAAATTTTTAACCGAATAATTTTAAAGGTAAAAGAAATTTATTATTAATTTTTAAGATCTTTAATTCGAATAAAAAAATATATACCCCTTATACTTTAAAAAAAATCATAAGATAGAAAGCCGTGAAATCAACTCTACGATCACTGTATAAATAGGTACGCACTGAATACAAAATCTCATCGGATGATCTCTTTTCTCTACCTTGAATAATTTGTGGAACGGTAAGGGAAATGTTGAATTTTCTGCAATTTTTAGTGCAACATGAAATCTCATGTCCCCTTTTCTTCTCTCTATTACTCGTCTTCTTCGTCGTCTTAATTCGTCAAACTGGCAAAAGAAAGCTAATATTACCGCCGTCGCCTTCAAAACTCCCTATCATCGGCCGCTACCCTCATCGCTCACTCCATGTCTTAGCTCAAAAATTCGGCCCTCTCATGTCGCTCCGCTTCGGCAATCGCCCCGTACTCGTCGTCTCCTCCGCGGATGCTGCCTGTGAGATAAAGAAAACTCATGATGTCGCATTCTCAAGCAGACCGAAACTCAGCGTCTTTCGAAAGCTTCTCTATGACTGCAAAGAGGTCGGATCCGCACGTTACGGTGAGTACTGGAGGCAAATGAAAAGTAGATGCGTACTGAATCTTTTAAGTAACAAAAGGGTTCAATCTTATCGAGCTATAAGAGAAGAAGAAACGGCTCTAGCAATGGAGAACATTCAAAAGTCTTGCTCTTCGGGTTTGACGGTGAACCTAAGTGAACTCTTTCCTGCAATTACAAACAACGTAATCTGAAGAATGGCTTTAGGAAGAAAGTACAGTAGTGAAGATAAAGACAAGTTTAAGAAGCTTTTGAACGATCTCGGAGAGTTGCTGGGTACTTAGAATATCGGGGATTATCTTCCATGGCTTGCGTGGGTAAGCCATGTTAATGGATTCAATGCTAAAGCTGATAAATTGGCGAAGGAGTTAGATGAATTTCTAGATAGAGTGATCGAAGAACACATGAATCGGCAAAACAAAAAGTAAATGATCAAAAAGACTTTGTGGATGTTTTGCTGGAGGTTCAGAGGGAAAACACAGCTGCCTTTCCTATAGAGAGAACTAGCATCAAGGCTCTTATCTTGGTAATAACTAACAACTTCCCTTAATTTTTCTGTTTTTCACTTTTAAATGAAATGAAAGAATAAGAACTTCTGCTTCGTATTCATAATGGGTGAACTTGATATCTTTCCAGGATATGTCTGCTTCAGAACGAGGTCCGTAAAGTTTCCTCTGGAAAATCGAGCATATCGGAGGACGATCTCGACAACTTGCACTACCTAAAAGCAGTGATCAAAGAGACTCTCCGTTTACATCCTCCAGTTCCACTGTTGCTTCCAATAATATCAACAAAAGATGTGAAGATCCAGGGCTATGACATAATCGAAGGAACTCAAGTTATTATCAATGTTTGGGCAATCGGAAGAGACCCATCGTCATGGGAGAAACCAGAAGAGTTTATTCCGGACAGGTTCTTGAACAATGCCATAGATTTCAAAGGACATCATTTTGAGTTGATTCCCTTCGGTTCTGGAAGGAGGATTTGTCCGGGCATCCTGTTTGCAATGCAAATAAACGAGGGTTTCCTAGCAAATCTGGTGCACAAGTTCGATTGGTCTTTGCTTGGTGGAGCAAACGACAAGGATTTGGACATGACCGAATCCTTGGGCCTCGCCATACACAAAAGCTCCCCTCTAATTGCTATTGCCAACCAATGTTCTTTCTAGTGCAAACCCTCACCTATCTTCTTATTATGTATTCTAAGTTACACGTGCTTATAAATCTAAGTTTTTTTCGATAAATATTGTTTTATTATCCAAACTAAGCTGAAGTCTGCTACATAGTACAATCACCTATATATGTTTTACTTGTGGTGCCCTTCAATTCTGAATTGATACGTAAATTACATTATGTGACACCCAATTAAAAATATCCCAAGATAATTATAACATATTTTAGTTGTATTTGTATTATATATATATATATATATTTGTTTTAGGTCGAACCCAATTAAAGTTGTTAATTGAGACGGGTCCCTCAAACTTTTGAGATCGAACCCAACTAAAAATACTGTTATAAGCAATAGCACATAAAAATGTCATTAACATAAAAATATGTTTAGTGGTAATTGAGATCCTCAAACTTTTAGAAAAAAATATTTAGTGTAGTCCATTAACTTTTTTTTTTCATAAACTATGATCGTTAAACTTAGGAAAAAAAGTTAATCAAACCCTTTGAACAACAAAATCAAACATTAGTTGTCACGACGCTGACATGACAGTTCACAAAATTGACAATCTATAATATTAATGTGACAGTTCACGATACTGTTGTAACAGTACTCAATGAACGATGATGTGGTAGATGAAGTTAATTAATTATTTTAGAAAGTTTGAAGATTTATTAATTTTTAAAAAATTAAAAAATTAATTTAAATATAAAATATAAACAATTATTGAAATATTTAATAAATAAACTATAAAAATATATAAAATTATATTATTAAAATAAATTAATTTAAGGATTACATTAAGTGTAAAAAAATTTAGGGATCATATTGACTTTTTTAGAAAAGTTTGAGGGTTTTATATACCATTAAATAAAAAAAATTATTGTTAGAATGGTTTAAACATATGTCTAGATATAATGTTTCCTTATTTTTTGAATTTCCAAAACAATTTTAATGAGAATAGTGATTTTTTTTATGATTTTATATTTTCACTTATTTTTGTTTTTATTTTTCAGAAATTATTTTTTAATTTTACAACCAAACATGTTTTATTCAACGTTTTTTATTTTCTATGAGAATGATAATATCTTAATGTTTATTGTAATATAATTAATTTTTAAACAACTTACGTGGACCCCAACTAAAAAATATTTTTTATTATAATATAATTTATTATGATATAATTTATGTTTGACAGCCACTGCCCTCAACCAAAATTTATTTTTTTATTTCTGTTATAATGTAATTAATGTTTTGTTAAATGAATTATTACCAATAATTATTCTCTTAGCTTCCTTATACATTTTTTGGTGTATTAAATAAATGTTCAACAGTCGAGGTCCCATTTCTACATTCATCCCGAACCACTAAAATCTCATAAACATATCTAATTTTTCTCTCCATTTGTTATGTATTTTTTTTAATAAATCCAAATGACGAAAAAAAAGAGAGACAATTAATTTTATCATTTAAATGTCATTTTTATTACAATCGTATTAATTTGATTAAAGATTTAAATTTATAGAAATATATATTTAAAATTAATTTTATTTCTATTTCTGTAATTGTTTATATTATGTGTTGAATAAATCTTTTCATTGAAGAAAAGGGTATATTATGTGTTTAGTACCTAAACTGTCAGTTTTGACCCATTTTAGCACCTAAACTTTCAATTTTTTAAAATCATACCTAACATTTAGTTTTTGTTTCATTTTAGTGCCCCATCGTTAAATAATTAATGGACGGGCTCGCTGCTTGCCGCTTCTACAATTGCCGACCATTGCATTCGTTAACCAATGAAACCCAAACTTTTCAGTCCGCACCTTTTTGACCCTATGAATGTGATTTTAGCCTATACCAGAAAATGTCGCAATCTCCCCAAATCGACGATGAATTATTAAACTTCTTCATCCTCCAATCTCCATCGTCAACCATCCGATGGGCCTGAAACTGGACTATGTTGGTCGACCCTTCATTCTTTCATGGTCTATAGTTCGGATTGGTCGTCTGTCCATCATAGCCATGTCTTGTTCTTAGTAATATTTTTAATGTTTTTCTGTAGTTCTTTACTTCAAAGATTCGATAGAGAAAAAAGAAAACAAAACTAATGTGGGCAGAAGATTTTTATTAACGACGATATCTGGATTTTGAATCGTTCATTTACACTGCTACATTGACCTCTCGAAAGCATCAAGGGCAAAACATGGCGAACTCGAATACGTTTTTCATCTGCTGATACGCTCACACTGCTAATTTTTGTGTTTATTTGAAAATAAAAAATATAATTCGGATGATTCACAATACAAATGTATGTATCCAACGTTCAATAATTCATCGGATACAAAGTAAACGAATTTACGTCAGAAACTGAAATTAAATGAGAAACCAACTTGAATCCGAAGATAAAACCTTGAAAAACGGCTTATCGAGTGTGAATTTAGCAAAATGGACTTCAAAATCGGACTCAAGATGTCGAATAATATAAAATAGGGCTTTTCAGAAAATTTGACTTTTTCGGACAAAGTCAACGGCCTAACCGGTCAACTCTGACCAAAGTTAACGGGTCGATCAAAGTTAACCGTTCAGGTCAGTTCAACAGTTCGGGTCGATTCTTCCTGGACCGGTTCGGGCCGGTCGAGACCGGTGAACTAGTTCTAGAAATTTCTTGGACCGGCCGGAGACCCCACGTGCACGACCGACACGTGGCGGCAGCGTCCGGGATCATTTGCACCGGCCAATCACTCCCTACACAACCAGAAATTCATTTACACCTAAAACCAATCCAATATCACACTTAAATCATACCAAACCTCACCCACAAACCGAACGAAACTTATCCAAACAGTGGACCAACAACGGTGGGTCCATGGTGAACAAAACCGATCGGATTTTGAGTGCACGACGACGGTGAGTCCAATGGTGCAGGCGGTGAGGAGAGATAACATCGGTGGCGGCCGGAATCATAAAAAATGAGTGGCGGTCGGGGGGTTTTCGATGGACTTTCCATTTGTGATTTACAGCGAACGACACCGATTCAGAGTGGGCTAGGGGTTGGGTTTTGATCACCATTCGACAGTGAGTCTATAGGTGGTATCGGAGCGACGAACAGTGGTCGGACGATGACAAAATGTGGTGGCAAAAGAGGGTCGGTGAGAAGATGGATTTGGGGTTAATTTTTTGAGGAAAACCAGATTGATCAGGGAAGGGGTTTAAATTTTTACTGATAATAAAAATGGGAAAATTCAAGTTCTAATCCCTAAACTTCTTATTATTTGCACTTTGATCCCTAAATTTCCAAAACTTATCAATCTAATCCTTTATTTGAATTAAAAAAATGATTTTAACTTCTCATTTAAAATTGGGGTGTGACAGTTAAAATCATCAGAATCTCTTCAACATACCCCTGGTTTGTTGTCATTCTTGTTTACAAGCTATTGATACGATTGTTATGAGTTTCCCACCATCTTGGAGGATTGATCTCATATGTAGCTTGTCTCACCAGTTTAGTGAGGTCTTCAATTTGTTTCTACAGTGCATAAATATCAATAGGATCTCTCATCTTTCGTAACTGTTTTTTGGGGGGTTTAATCGTTTAATTGTTTAGAAAATAGTTACGATTTTAATTTTGGAAAATGATTGATTTTGAATTAATTTGGATTAAATCGGAAAGAGTTGCCATCGGCCTTTAGGTTAGGTAGGTCGAATACCTAAAAAAGAGTCTTTTAAAAATAATTTTAAGAAAAATCATTTTTTAAGACAAAAATTGGTCTGCGTTTACCAAAAATTCGATTAAAACGGGTTCGGGAGTCGGTTACGCGTGGGGAAGGATTAGCACCCCCACAACGCCCAAAATTGGTACTGTATCACTTATATATTGTCGTAAATGGTGGAAATCCTGAACCAAATATCAAGTTAGAATATGATAAATTTATTAAAGCTTAATTTGTTTCGAATTATTAATTAAAAGAGAAAAATCTTTAATATGAAAAGAAATATCGACATTAGCAATCCTTTGTCGGGAAAACTATTTCATCTATTTCTTATTCATAAAGAAATATTCTATCTTCGACTAACGCGTATAAAAATGAATATTGACATTTGCAATAAAATGAATTAATCAAAATGCATATTCATATAAATATATTTAATTAATAAAAGAAAATAAATTTGAATTTAATTAATAAATAAGCATTTTATAATAGCCAACAAATATACACATGAATATGTAAAGTTTAGAAAGTAACATAATATTCATACATATATACATGATTTGAAATAAACAAAACTCATACAAGAAACACAATTATCACACAAAACCTTTAAATCCTAGCATGTACTTCGAACGAATATACGTAATAACATACATAATAAGAACATAAGTGATAATTTACAAACATGAAGAATTAGAATACAAAATAATAAAGATTGAACAACCTAAGTTAATATATGAATAAATAATAATTTAATATAATTTACATTTATTCCACATAAAACATTGAAACCATAATATACGAATGAGGTTGCACACATGTACAAGTATGTAAATAGAGACACAAAGGACTAAAATTAGATCTATAAAACTTTACAGATTATAGTATAAACAAAGGAATCTAAACACTTTATAATTCAAAAGACAAACAATATATATATATATATATATATATATATATATATATATATATATATATATATATATATTAACAGTAATTTAATGGCTAAACAGTAAAACCAATAATAATTAAGGTAACAAACTAATTAATTATTATGAACTTAATAAAATCATAATTGATTAAAACATACGAGAAACTTAATCAATCAAACTCTATACTTTGTCATTGAAAACCAATCTTTTAGAAAGAAGAATGACGTTTACAAAATAATAAATCATGTTTATAAAATAATAAATATAATCTAAATGGTTTATATACATGTCATTGAAACATGGCATAATGAAGCTACACGTGTTTTATATGCCTACACATAATGCAACAAATAATATAATATGTAATCATAGCGTAGGTTATTTATATGCACACATAACTATTCATATATATATATAATAGATTTATATACTTAAACAGGAAAAGAAGTGATTAAAATATAAGGATATTTGGGGAT